AGAACTTCCTGGTAAGCAGCAGCTCAGAATAGAAAGAGCACTGGACCTGGAGTCAGATGCAATGCAGGTTGTTTTCACTAAACACTCTAAAATCCTTCCCAGATCTAATTTCTTATTATATATTATCTTTTACTACTGAATCATGAGGGTTTGATGACTTGGGGTAATTTTTAAATGGTTTTAAAGTTTTTGTTGTCTTTAAGCATTTGGTTCTTTTTGTTGTTAAGTTAATTTGGGATGTGGAATTTAGTAAGGAAAGGGGTTGGGGGGAGATGGTTTCATTGTTTTGTGTTTTCCACAGACCTGCTGTAGTTTATCTTCTATCACTTGTTAATAGTGGGTATCCTACCCTCCCCCCTCTACTCTCAATAAGAGTTGGATGGTGTCTGGGGAGGAGATTCCAAGGAACAAAAGCAGTCCTTTCTGCTACAAAGCCAAGGGGAAAATGTTATCTGAGGAACTACATTGGCGTGGTGGTCTTTCTATACCTGGCTTAAATTCTCAAGATTAAATAGCTTAGATTTTAAGAGAGTTTACTTAAGCAAATACCACTTTTGTTCTCAGCTTTCCTTCTCCCTAACCCCACATGTGTTTACACCATGACATCAGTATCTGTCCAATATGATTCACAAGCCTAAAATGTCCCAAACTGATCTCAGCATCTTCCTCTCAGAATCTCTCTTGTACTCCCAGTCTTGATTAATGGTATCACCATCCGACTTGATTCCCCATTTGTCAGTCTAGCCCCTCTCGAATCCACCCTTCACACTGGCTGCTAAAGTGCTCTTTCTAAAATGTAAATAGGATCAAGACGCTTCCCTGCTTAAGAGCCTTTGAAGAGTCCTTTCCACCTACTGGATACATTTCAAACTCATCTTGCATCCCTGCCTACCTCTCTAGCCCCATCTCCTGCCACTCCCTGCCATCCCTTCGAGCCCTTTAAGCTCCAGCTAGTGAACAGCTCACAGTTACATCATGGTCTTTTATGATTGTGACTTTGCATGTGAAATTCCCTCTGCTACTTTGTCAGCTTGAGTTAGTTGCTTTTCCTCATGTCCTCATAGCATTTCCATGTGCAGTGAAACATGTGAAAGCCAGAACCTGTGTAGGGCAGAAACCTGTCAGAGAAGGAAAACTCAAATATTTTCCACTGAAATGAGTGATAGAAAAGTGGTAAGACTATACCCTGTCAAAGGTGGAAAACTTGTAAGACTTGGAAAAACAAGGCAGTCCCATCAAACTCTGACTCTCACAGATTTCACTGTACTAGTGTTATAACTCTTGTCACACTATATTATAGTGACTTCTTTACTTGTCTCCACCACTAGACTACCAGTTAGTTCCCTGTTTTGAGAGAAGGTAAACATTGCAGAGGGGATTCAGGCTTTCTGTTGCTTATAGGTGGCATTTAAGCTGGTCTGTGATGTTTGCCTTCTCTCTTTGTCCCAGCCCTCCCCCTGGTGGAGGTGATAAGAAGCAGTGACTTGGTCACATGGCCAAAGATAAGAAAAAATAGCCTGGATAAACATCTGTCTCAAATCATTTTTAAAGAAAATGCAAAACTGGCTAATCAGTGTTGGGTGTAGGTGACCTGGCAGGAGCTGTCTTGCCATGTATTAGTTGGCAGACCCTGGTTTTAACCCCCAGAGCTATAGCTGGGAGTCAACACACTCATTTCTGATGGTCTGACAGAATGTCACACTACCGTCAAACAAATAGTCCAAGCCGAATGAGCTGGTAGAGATCTTCATCCTTGTTTTCTCCTCTGCCCGAAGCTGAGAAAAAAATCTGTTTACAGGAATGTTTGCCTTTGGATGTTTACATCCTAGAGCAAAGATCAAATACCATTCACACCTATATGATAGGTGTTCTCCCCCAAATGGTCACAGGGAGTGTCTTCGTTTCTATCCCAGAGTAGTATCCAGTTAACACTACTTCCTGTCCCAGTTGAAGACAACCCAGTCTTTGAATCAGTATATAGTTGCCTGTGGGAAGACTTGGGTCTTTGGAGTCAAGCAGCAAGTTTCTCAAGCACCCCTGTGTATATAGCTCCCTAGGTATGGTGACCCTAGGTATAGTCTGAGTTGGTCTGCCTAGACCTTGCCAGGCAGTTAAAAAAGAGTTAGATTAGCGGTTTGGTTGGGAGGAATCTCACCTCTGAAAACAACAAACTTTTAGAAAACATGATGGATTTATAATTACCATAGAAGTTCTCCTTCCAGACTATTGTGAATTTTATCAGTGCTTATGTTTACACTATAATGAGAGTCTAGCAGCAAGAATGGGTTTTTGTTTTTAAGCGGAGGAAAGGAAATGAATATAATCTATTTGTCACTAGGAGAGACTACCTTGAAAAAAATCAAACAGATTTAGACACATTGTCATTTTACACACATGTCAAAAGGCAAGGAAAGATGATCTGCTGTCTGAGGTGTCCATCTGGCTGTGTCCTGATTGAAGAAAAAGAATTCAGGTGCTACCAGGGGTAACATGAAATGGAACAGAAACAGAACTGGTAGAACTGGTCCCTTGAAGTCCTTAGGTTTCTATGTTCAGGGTAAAGATTACCCTACCCACAAAATGATCATTGATGACATCATTTATGATGCCCTTGCCCTTCAGCTGGCACTGCACAGGCACCTCTTGGTTCTTCACCACATCTGTGAAGTGCATTGCCACCAGGGGGGAGGTGTAGTTAACCTGTAGATGGAAGAACAATGGATTCTAAGTGTGGGGAAGGCAGGGAGGGTAGGGAGGGTGAGAGGGGGTAGGATGTATGCAGTTGGATATTCAGTGAAGGGTAGGTTAACCTCCACAAAGGGAAGTGAATAAATACCGGGATGTCAAGTCACAAATGGCTGAGCAACTGACATGTTCTCCCTGCCCTATGAAAACTAAGAAAGCACACATTTCTCTCCTAAGTCACTGTAGGGAAACCAATTCTGACTCAGCGTGATATGATTTTCTGACTATCAAACCATGAATCAAACCAGAACTAGTATTGATCGACTCCTTATGCTGCAGATGAATCCTTTCCTGCCTCCAAGGGTTCAAATGAGAGAAACATAGAAGTGTGATTATTTGGGCATAATTGAGTACAAAGGCAGTAATAATTTGTCTACTCCTGGCTCTGTCCTTAATTAGCTATGTGACCTTGGGCAAGTCACTTCCTCTCTTTGATCCCCAATTTTCCCATCTGTAAATTGAAAGAGTTAGACCAGACCATATCTGAGTACCTTTCCAGATTCGGAAAGAAGTGGTTGTAGTAGGAAGTAGTAGAGGGAACCCTTGGCTGTGACCAAAGGCCATTCACCACTCTGTTACTCCGTGCTGCTCCCCATAGATTCCAGAGCCTTTCTGTTTTCTCTGAGCCCTTTCTGACTGCAAGGACTGAAGGGATACAGGCATGATGATTGAGGGGGATATAGGCTTACGTGAGTCAGTTTGCCGTAGTAAGGGTAGTAGCGGAGGTCAAAAGAAGCCGACTCTGGGTAGTAATTGATGGATCGGATGTTGTTTTCATCACCTCTCTGTAAGCAAAAGCAGGGATATGTGGGGTGCAGGGTCACTCAGTGGGTTGGAGCCTGAGTTAATGGGCCTGTGCCCCAGGTGAAATCACTGTGTGGCCCACAGCCCAGAAAGATCCTGAAAGCACAGTGGAGCATGGTTCAGCCCAGAGGAGTGTTTCCAGGGAGACACTATGGATTGGCTTTTCAGTTCAAAGAATACTGAATAGAAAGCCTGGCTTGAGGAAGTCAAAGGTGCCCAGGATAGCTCTGTGCTATCTTTTCGGGGACCCAGACAGAAGGGTCCCAAAAGGCTTGTAATGTCTGGTGCCGCTCTAGAAAGAAGGCACACCCTTCCAGCACTCGTGCAAGGAATCATGCTGGGGCTGGCACTCAGTCTTGAGCTTTGGAGGTGAGGCAGGTATAAACTGGGACACGTTTCATAAATCTCCACGACTTGCACACCGCAGGCTCCGTTGTATTGGAAATCCAAGCAGGTGTGCAGGGACCTGATGCATAGGGATGCTGCCTCCAGTTGGCTCACCTAAACTCATGGCTCTGACCCCATTCTCTGTGGCCACCAATTACAGTATGCAGAGTCAGAAGGATAAGTAAGAGGGGTTCAGGTACCAGAAATGAAAAAACTGAACAGTGTCTTCTTATCACATCAGATCAGGCAGGGGGCTGCCCATTCTGCCTATGCATTAGGCTTCCCCTAAACAACAGAGGTCTTTGGTGGCAGGAGCTCTGGTGGTACAGTGGTTAAGGCATTCAGCTGCTAACCAGAAGGTCGGTGGTTCGTACTCACCAGCCACTCTGTAGAACGAAAACGAGGCAGTCTGCTTCTGTAAAGATTCCCAGCCTTGGAAACCCTATGGGGTGTTTCTACCCTACACTATAGGGCTGCTATGAATCGGAATCCACTCGATGGCAATGGGTTTGTTTTTTTGGTTTTAAGTGGCACAAATGGTTTGTGCTCAACTACTAACCTAAAGTTTGGCAGTTTGAACCCACACAGCAGTACAGCTGAAGAAAGGCCTGGAGATCTACTTCTATTACAATCACAGCCATTGAAAACCTTATGGAGCAGTTCTACTCTGTAACACATGGGGTTGCCTTGGGTCGGAATCAACTCAATGACAACGAGTTTGGTTTTTGGTTTTTTTGGGAGCTACTGAGGACAAATAGTGCATCATTACTAGCAAATTGCTCAGTAGGATCATGTAATTACTCCTGTCAATGTGTTTTAATCATTCTTAGTATAAACTGAGCTCTCCTTAATTTATTCTAATAGTATCTTCTTCTGCAAGAGAAAAGTAAGCACTTGATTCCCACAAGTGGGTATGAATTTGACCAGTATTGATCATTATAGAATATATGGAGGCTCTTAATATTTCTTTCAAATGAATAAAAAAAAGACAGTTCTCAGCAAGGTTTGATGTAAGCTGATAAATGAACAGTTTCCATTAGGGAAGTACAAGTGGGACTCTATCCAATTAAAATGCTAGTTTATGACTGAGTTGGTCTTCATGATTTGTTTATATACTCTTCTAAAAGGCTATGAAATGTGTTTCTTGTGCATGGCCTGTGGAATCAGTTCCACAAGTTTGCAGTCACATCTCACATGTGTGTATATTTACATGTACACACGTACATATAGGAAGAATGAATGTCCTTCCTATTGCGTTCACCCGGCAAACCCTGCCAGATCTTTCAAAATTCATATTCAGCATCACCACCTCCCAAGTGGAACTGACCTTTCTCTCTTCAGTGCTCACATTACACCTATCACAGCACCTGCAATACTTAATTGCCTTGATATCAGCGATCGAGTCTTCTTTTTCTCTGTACCCCTAACACTTAGCAAAGTGCCTGGCGTATAATAAATGATCAGTAAATGCTTGCCAAATGCAGAATATTGGCTGAATAAATGCTGCCTGCCTTTTGCTATTTTCGGGAGCTCTGGTGGTGTAGTGCCTAAGGCATTTATTTGACTGCTAACCAGAAAGCTGACGGTTCAAATGCACTAGCCACTCCTCAGAAGCAAGACTGGGTAATATACTTCCATAGAGGTTGTTGTTGTTGTTGTCATGTGCCATCGAGTCAAACCTGACTAATATACTTCCATAGAGGTACTGCCTGGAAAATCCAAGGAGGGGTCGCTATGAGTCAGAACTGACTCAACAACAGTGAGTTTTTTGAGTTTGCGGTTTTCTGATCTGCCACCATCAAGACTGGAATTTTGAGCTGTATTTCTAGTATTGGGAATGAATTTACCTAGCCTCACACGTTTGCAAGAAACTGTCCAGAGGTATGGGTGCAGCTGATGTCATCAAACAGGAGGAAGCTGCTGCCCATTTGAGAAGCAAACCCAAGATTTAGAGCTTTTTCCTACAAAGGAGCTATTTGGTGCAGATGAGATAGGAGTTAATGGTCCCTGGAAGGACAGTTAATTAGGATATTAATGGTGTTCTGTTTATACTTCTGTTGTAGTCTTTTGTTATTGCAACACCCAGTGCCAGTGGTCATTGCTGCAAAATGTGAAATTCCATTTTAAAAGCAGGGACTAATGATTCTAATGCAATCTATTTGTTTAGTTCAAAGAAACAAGTAATTAGAGCTAAAAGCAAAAGTGTAAACAGAATCCCAGTTAATGACTTGGTACATTGTTGTTCCTGGCTGTGGCCCTTGGCAAAAGGTTCAGTCTTCAGCCTTCACAGGTATAAATCATAACACACACACACACACACATTAAATGCTTTATGGAAATAAGGAGGCCTAAAAGCACTAAAGGGAGATCTCGTTATGAGATTAACCCTTCCCTTAACCCATAGCCAACCATCCATGTGTAGAGCATTTGGAAGAGGTGAACTACATTTTTGCATGAAACAGATACGCTAACAGTGCTTACCCAAAAGTCACTTTACCTGAACTTTGCAGGAAACCTTCACAGGATCTCCCAGCTCAGGACGAAAGCCTACAATCTATTAAAAGAAAACCAGTGTTTTTTCAAAAAAAATTAATTTGATGGTAAAACTGAGCTAAATTCCCCTTATGTCATGTTTCCTCAGGTATTAGCTTTGTCTATTTTGCCCTCCCCGGAAGTATTATAGACAGCAAAAACTGCAAAATACCCTCAGCGTTGTGCAGCTCGGCTTACGCATTGTGTTTGTGTCTGATATTCATATACAGTGGAAATTGCAGCAAGATAACCCTAAAGATGTAAAGAACTTTCTGATTTCTAGAGTGATATGGCTCTGTCAGACCCCTAAGGCATGGCAGGAGAGAAGGAAAAATACATATTTTATCACAGAAAAACTGCCTCTGGTCTCACCCAAAGCTGTGTTCAGGAAGAAGAGGGAATTACTGCTTGGTAAATTTGTCTGGTGGTTTGCATTACTGATGCTGTTGGCAAAAATGGCCACACTTGTGGTGTGTGAAGACAGAACTCAAGAGAAATAGAGCGGCCAGAACCCTCTTACTCAGCTCACCCACTTATCGTCACCAGAGTATCGAGGGCCCATGTACCCGGTTCATCTTTAGAAGGATGCAGGGCTGTCCGGTAGAGTAGCCAAAAGTAGGATCCTCCAGACCAGAACAGTTCTTCAGAAAGGAACGCTTAAATTGGCAGGCTTTCTTGTCCTCATCCTCATCGCCATCTTGGATGAAGTACTGCCCTGGTGGACAATCTATGTTCATTTCCTCTTGAAGACTGTCATTATAGCCTAAAGTGTATGTGAGTGGCAAATGGTCATGTTAGACAGGTGCTACAGTGGACAGGCATGTTTCCAGTAGTCTTACCCCCTTGGCTTCCTTTCTCCAGCCTGCTTGCACTCCTTTGAAATCCCACCCAGTCCATCCTGGCCCCTGGGACTTGGGATCAGGTAGCCAAGGCCCTTCATCAACAACATCCCTCCAGGAAGCTTTTCTGGCCAGTCATCTCAGCCCAGTTCCACTGCTGCCCCTTTGCTTCTCATTCCCTCATAACTTCTGGATATCCATCTCTGGGTCATTTTTTGGTTACTTGATAACTTTTCTCTATTTTCTATGATTTCTTTTCAGATATGGTAAACTGCTCACATGGGAATCTGCCTCTTCTACATCTGGGAGAGAAATAGGCACTTAGTAGGTAGGGTTTGGAAAAGGAAGTGAATCATGTCAAGGCACGGTATAAATAAGGAGGCTAAATTCTTGGGTTAAATGTCCTTAAGTTCAGCCTAGGAAACAGCTCACTTTGAGGTCAATGAGAGACACCTGAAGCAAGAGTGTGGGGGAAGTGTGTGTTGTGAAATGGGAGGAAGAAGGTTGAGAAGGAGAAGGGAAGAAGTCAGCTCCTTATTCTTTAGAGAAAGTGCACTTGAAAAGAGAAGCTTAGGTTGAAAGATAGAAACCAACGACAACCCCAGGATCTTCACTGAGAGGGTGAGGGAGTGGAATTTTGAACACCGGGGCAGGAAGCACCCAGGGCTAGTATCCCTTTACATTTGGTGGAATGTAACATGTATCCAAGGAGGGGGCTGAAAGTGGCTGTCCATGAGCTGATGCTTTGGGCTACCAGATGCCATAGAACTGGGCTTTGGAAATTACTTAATTATTCCCTATTTGGTTCTAAGTGATGAAGCCTAGTAAGCCCACTTAGACCTAACCCCTGTGGGTTTATGTTTCAAGTAGCTTGGTCTTACAGAGGAGACTGTGCACCTAAGACCCACCAGAGGCAAGGTTCTAAATGTACTGCTGGATCCTCATCTAGATAGGTTGAAGTTTGGTTTGATATTATTAAGAGGCAACTGGGAATTTTAAATCTATTCCACTTATGACTGTGCTATAATTTTTCCTCTGGCAAAGCTACATTCAGTTCAACCTTTTGTTTTAATCTTTTTTTCTTTTTAGAACAAGAACTATGCTCACATAATAACTTTCTAAATAGAAGCTGCAGTCACATACTCATTGTTTCTCTTGAGGTAGTTCCATTAAAAGTAATGTGACATGGGCATGACCCTTATTGCAAAATCCCAGTCCTCATGGGAATGAAACGGATACTCCAGGATGTCTATTTTGGAGACATGTTCCTTTTTAGTAGGAAGTATTATCTATATCTGGGAGCTAAAAATCCACTGCTTTTCCTAAATGCTCCTTCCCTCTTTAGGTCAGAATTGGTATTTTTCCATCTACCATCTTCTCATAGGGTTTTCCTAAGCATAGATTCTGGCAATATATTTGTAATAGCCCACAAGCATTTTGAAAGAAAATATTGTGCTGGCTATGATGTTAAAAATATTTATTTTTCCTTTTTTTCCACAAATGGAACAACATGGGCTCAGAAAGAATCTAGTCCCTTCATTTTACAGGCGAGGGATCTTGGAGCTCAGACTTACCCAAAATAATACAAGGAGCTCTGGTGGCACAGTGCCTAAGGCATTTGACGGGCGGTTCAAACCCACCAGCCAGCCACTCCATAGAAGGAAGACTGGGAAATCTACTTCCGTAAGGATTTGCCATCTCGGAAACCCAATGGGCGTCACTTTGAGTCAGAATTGACTCGATGGCAGTGGGTTTGGGTTTGGTCGCGTGGCAGGAGTCCCTGGGGGTTGCAAATGGTTAAGTGCTTGACTACTCACTGAAAGGTTGGCAGTTGAAACCCACCGAGAGGTGCCTCGGAAAAAAGGCCTGGTAATCTGCTTCCGAAAGGTCACAACTGTGAACAATCCCGTGGAGCAGTTCTACTCTGCACACATGGGGTCAGCATAAGTCAAATGGCAACAGCATAGGGTTATGTAAAGCAGTGCTTCTGAAGTTTCAGAATTCTTTCAAATCACCCATTGATCCTGTTAAAGTGTAGATCCTGATTCAGTAGTTCTGGGTGAGGCCTGAGAGTCTGCATTTCTAACAAGCTTCCTGGCAGTGTGCATGCTGTAGGTCCCTGGTTCACACTTTGAGTAGCAAGTGTGTCAAGAACATGGACTTGGGTCCTCATGCTGGTTCTGCTGGTGGGAGACTGATCAAGTTACTTCCTCTTTCTGAGCCTCAGCTCCTTCATTTGAAAAAAGGGCACTAGATAGACTCTACCATGAAGGGTTACAGTTAAATGACAAAATGTATACAATTTAAGTAACGCTTTTTGGCAGTGATGAGAGTGTTTACCTCCCAATTCAGTGCAGCCTCCACCACCCCCTCCCCCCTTCAGCTAGATCAGGCTAACCAAAATATTCTGTTTTTTTTCCCCCCACAAATAGTTGTGGCAATGCAAAGCCCACCAGGGCTTTTCTTTGATAACTTGATAAACACAGAACTTGTGCGCTTTGTGTTTTACATTACCAAAGCTGGTGGTGCAGTGGTTAAAACATTTGGCTGCTAGCCAAAAGGTCGGCAGTTCGAACGCACTAGCTGTTCCATGGGAGAAAGATGAGGCAGTATGTTTCCGTAAAGATTTATAGCCTTGGAAACCCTATGGGGGCAGTTCTACTCTGTCCTATAGGGTCGCTATGATTGGAATTGACAACATGGCAGCAGGGTTGGTTTCGTTGTGGGGGTTTTAATCTTCTACCTCAGTTTTCACCATGTGGAAGGCCCTCCTGTATAAACCATTTATTTATCCTTGTCACGGTATCTGATGAGACTACAGAGATAGGCATCTTGAAAACACTTGGGATCAAAATGCAGGAGTAACTACCACCAAAAGATTCGTCCCCTGACTCCCTTCTGGAATGGTTTTAAAGACACTTTCTCTCTCCTTCCAAGCTAGCCCATATCTAAGAAATAAATTCTCTTACCTTGAGAAAGTGTAGGAGGCAGGAAGCCTCCCTCCAGCGTTATTTTCATAATTAATCATTGCATGTACTTAGCAAACCTTTATCGAGACACTTGGATGTGCCCAAACCTTAACTAGGGACTGTAGGGTGTTCAAGAAGGGAAAGCAAGTACTTTGCCCCAAAGAGCTTATAGTCTTGCTGGAGAATTGGCTTGTATACTTTCAAGGCAACAAACTAGAGCAGTTTCTATTCCATCTACAGGTGCTGAGGGGATGCAAGGTAAGGAAAGACCATAACGGGCTGGGGTTAGTAAGGGTGGGATTTCTGGGCAAGGTGAGTTTTTGATTCCCTCCCATCACCTTCCCAAAGACCTTTCCACCATTCAGAGGAACTTACTTACCCTGGAGGAAGCCATTTAGGCTAATCACATAATGCTGCCAAGTGTCAGGTTCAGAAACGTTGAAGTTGAAGTTAAGGCTATGGGCGAAGGGTCTGATCATAACTCCTGGCAATGAAAACAGGTCTTGGATATATTAACCCATTCTTGGGATAATTTTTCTTTTTTTTGTATCGATTCCCATGAAACCATTTCCCCTCAGGCAATCAAAATGAAAAGGACCATAATTTGCCAAGTACCATTTTACTTTTACTCTTAATAATTGAATCCCTAAGTCATTCCTGGGAAGAGCCAGTTAATTGAGGATGAACATGCTGTGCAAGCAGGTATCTGTCCAGCAAGTTTTGACAATGCAGGACATTTGGGCACTCACCAGGAGGCTTCACCTTCTCAGTGAAGGTCGGCATGTAAGGACTGATGGTCAGAAGTAGCGTGTATGTGCAGACAGTTATCACAGCAGCCAGAGAGGCATAGAACAAGAAATAAATGACCAAGATCAGGCCTGCAGAGCAATCCAAAATGAGAGTGGTCAGTGCTTGCCAACAAGCCCTGCCTCCCCCCTCCCCCTAGCACTTGAACTCAGGAACCAGAACCAATCCAAACACATGAGAGGGCTTTTACAAAAATCTTATTCCCCAGATCCAGTATGTCCTTGCTCCTCGAGATTTCACCAATTTGGAATTGGTGAGAACTGTGTCAGGGGTCTGATTGCAGTTAACCTTTACAGCATCTGCGATGGAAGGGCTTGCTGAGCAAATGATGACCATGAACAAGATTACAGGGGAGTGGAGTTTAAAGTACTGCCGAGGGCAAATTGCTTACAAGTCCTCTGGGCAATGGTGGATGTCCCATGTACAAATCATTCTTTGCTATTCATTAAAGCAGGTGCCCTGAAGAGCCCTAGCAGCTTGGTGCCGGTGATTATATGTATTTGCCAGTGATGAAAACAGCATTTCTTTTCACCTAGTCTTGAATTCAAACTTTTGATTAATTTCCACTGAACTTGCTTCTAATCAAGGCAGAATGAGATTTGACCCTACTTATTTCAAACCTTATTCATCTTTAGCAAAAATTTAAGTGGTTCTGCGTTTCAAAAAGAACACTAACACACAGTAGGAAAGGGAAGGGAAGGAAACTGTATTTAATCGCTGCCGTTTGCTACCTTGGAGGTTGGGTAAGTTATAGAGCCTCACTGTACCTCCGAATCCTCATAGGAAAAATGGATATAAGTTTAGCAGTCACTTCATACCCTCATCTATATCTCTAATAGGATCTGAAATTAAGCCTTTCCTCACATCGTATACTGACTATACCACTTCCCAACGGTCTAATCTTGGACATTCATTTCACCTCTCTGGGCCTCAATTTCCTCATCTGTAAAATGAGGACTATAATAGTATTTATTTCTTAGGGTTGAATAATGCATAGAAATAGCATAGCATAGAGCCTGGCAGATAGTAAGTGGTCTAGCAATGGCAGTCATTGTCATTATTATCAACAATAGTATTGTTATTGCTAGAGGTCTAGAAGCAAGGATTCCCACTCAGTGGGCTTTTGTAAGACTAGGTTGGGCCCAGGATTAGTCAGTACTGAGGGAGGCGAGTATGTGTGAGATGGCTTCTGAGAGGCTCTTTTCAAGTTCTTCTCGGGGCCCTATCAGGCAACAATACCTGGCTCTGGCTCACAGCAGTGAACTGCAGATCTGACTCGAGTCAGGAACTAGAAGCCGGAACAAACCACATAACTTCACTGTACCCAAAACTGAATCGAAATATTAATTTTTAAATTGAACCATGAACCAAATAAAATTCACCAAAAAGGGAGGGGAGTCAAGGAGAGGTGGAGAAGCCCTTAATAATCCAACTGGAAATGGAACTGACCCGTTATGTTTTATCAGATGAACTAAAGCAGAACTGGAACATGAACGTATTGCTCCAATTCGAGTCCCTAGAGAAGAAACAACAGAGCCTATGTGCTTGTGATTTTTGGCTACTGCCCACTGGCTATCCTGGTGCTCTGTGTCTCCTCATCCATTCCAACTCCCCCATCCCCATCTTGGGAATGAAGCAACAGCTGGAGCCATTTTGGAGGACTGGAAGACTCAGTTTCATGGATGAAGGGAAAACAATGGAACAGAGGTATGTTTCACTGGAGACAGCTTCCTTCTTGCCCAGGATGTGTAGTCAGGAAGCCGTAGATGGGAGAATGGCACTTGCAACGAGTCCCCTCAGCCTTATCCAGGAAGGGGTGCCCTGGAGTCTGTGATGGGTTAACTACCTCAGGCAAAACCCAGCACTGTCTCCATTGTACCCATTGATCCCTCCAACCCTTCCTGCTCCAGATGTCCAAGTTTTATTCTGGTTCCTCTCGTAGGAAATCCAAGGTTCCATCCTGCAATACCCCACCTGGGCTTGGATAGACAACTAGTCACCAGTACTCCCATCTCTTCATTCCTCCCACCAAAGCACCCCATGAAGTCCTGGTATCTTGGTAAGAGAATGAACTTTAGGTATTCATCCAACCTGGGTTTGAATCCCAACACTGCCACTTATTAACTGTGTGACTTTAGACAAGTTACTTACCCTCTCTAAGCCTCAGTTTCTGCATCTGTAAAATGGGGATAATAATATTACTAGCTCATACGGTTCTTGTCAGTATCCAATAAAATAACATATAGGTCCTAAGAATAGGGGCTGCCCAGCTACCAAAGGGAAAGCAAAGAGTATAATAACTGGTGGGGGGAATGTGTTGGATACATCGATGTCCAAGCTGGGACAGAGTTATAGTAAAGTGCCCAAATGAGCAACAAGCTCTCAGGCAAGAGGGCAGAAATGCATGTGCTTGGTGATCTAGGCACTGACATCACTATTTACCTTTTGCCTAGGGGTAGCCCAACACCAGAAGCCTAAATTCCTGGACTCTCCTTAGACCTTCTACCCAGTGGCTTGGTCATAGCCTAGTGCACAGCGTCCCCACTGCCATATTCTTCCTGGACCCTGAATCTTCTCTCCCTCATTCCCACTTACTGCCCTACAGATTGTCCTCCACAGCAATTCAGATTAGTTCATCAGGAGAAGCTCCAATGGCTAGCTGTTAAGGGGTCAATGCAAGTCCCATAATTGCACTTGCATTTTCACAGGGCCTGTTTTCCTAGTCCTCTTTAGGCAAGGGAGAAACAGCTGTGCCCCCTTTGAAGCCCCAATGGGTGTCTAGCATTTGCCTGCAGCTTGCAGAATGTCAGAATGCCCCTTGAATGGTACATTTGTTCCAGTTGAGAGTTAGAAGGATGGGCAGGGATGGGTCTGGGAACTGAGGAGGAGTGAAAAGAGGTGGGTGTTGTTCAGAGCCCCACACCTGCTATTCTTAATTCCAGGAAGCAGGCTTAACTGTTTCACCCTTCCTCGGTGGAATTAGAAACACAAACCATAAGGGAGAGAATTCTCAGCCAAAGCGACCTTTAGAAGGCTTGACCATTAACTTCTAGACCCTTGGCACTATGTTGACTCTTATTTCATCCATAGTGCCCTCTATCGTTTTCCTTTTCCTGAGGATTGACTAAGTTCCTAACCAGAAGCTGCTCTTTTCCTGGGCTGTGCAGAGTGTGACAAGTGTGAATTTTACCACAGGCTAAATCTCCTGAGGAGAAGGCTCAGCATTAGTAGTTTAAGACGTGTGTAGGACCTTGGGAAGGGAGTGCCGGGAAATTTTGATAGAAAAGTGGTGGCAGCATGTCGTACAAAGAGGAAATGCAAAAGAATACAATTCTGCCATTGACCAAGCAACATGAGGCTCAGTCTTCATCTTTACCAATGATCCCCTTAAACATAATTCCTATGTGTCCACTACAGGATAGTGAAGCACCCACAAGTAGGGCCAAGGGTGGGCTTCCTGGCTCTCCTTTTCTGATGTTAGTAGGTGAACTGATGAGGCTTTATAATCCCTTGCCTGGGTTAGCAGGGAATTGAGTTTCATAGCCTAGAAATAGTCTTCTGCATGGTATTTTCAACTTGACAATTTTTAGCAACTTGTTGGAGCCTCACACTAATCCTGTGAGAAAGGCAAGACATGGATTATTTCCCTCATTTGGCAGGTGAGGAAACTGAGGCTCAGAGAGGGGAAATGATGGGCCCAAGATCACCTGGGTAGAAAGTGATAAGGCTAGGAGTTACAATAAAATCTGTGCTTTTGCAACTCATTCTCACTGCCTCTCTGCATTGCAACCAATATTGGGTCAAGTGGATTTCAGCCACACAATCGAATGCACCCACTTGGAGTTTGTTCTGATGGGCTCTGCCTGCAGTCCTGGCATTTCCCTAGGCACTTGTCCCTTTCGATGAGATGCTAAAAGAAGTTTGCAGACAAGCCCATCCAGCGTATGGTAAAGGAGCCCTGGACATCCAGCCAGAAGCCAAGGACACCCGACTGGGATATTGGGATGACTGGGACTTACTCCAACTCTGACCTGTTCGGGCCAGAGACATCCTTTGCTCCGGATCCCACAGGTATTCATTCATGAGCTGCAATTTCTGCCACCAGGTGTTGCCTGTTGGCTGACCCTGACCCTCTTCACCCTCTTCTTGCTCTTCCTTTTCTTCCTCCTCCAAATTGGGTACCCCAATCACCCGAGCCTCTTCCTCTGCTTCCTCCTCTTCATCTGCCAAGTAGTCCTGGTTCGCTTCATCCTGGTCATCCTGGAATAGTGACAAATCAAACCCCCTTTCTGAGAAAGATTTCCAACGGAGCATCCCACCAGCCAAAAATAAATGGAAAGGGAGTCAATATTTGGAGGCATTTCAAATTTCTACTTTTGCATAAAATACCCATTGCTACAGGGGCAGACTTTCCTTCTATTTGTTCTTTTTGAGGAAATCTCCTTTCTACAACCTATTTTGACTCACTGTTCTTTCCATAGAAGTGCAGGTTTTATTCTCAGTTTCAGGCATTTGGGCTCTTTCCCCAGGATTACTCATGTCACTACCCTGTCCTGGGGCTTTGACCTCTTGCTTCACTTTGCCTGGCCTGTCAGGACGGGCTGAGCTCAACACTGGAGGATGGAGTAGTTTTTAGACGCTTGTTTCCATTATGGAAACAAGTCTAAGCTGGTTTCTTCCTAACACCCAGTAAACTTTTAGCTGCCAGCCCTCATCATCCCAAGTTATGTTTAAAAATAGCCTGGGTCAAAAATCAAGAGGAGAGTCAAACTTCTATACCCTTCCTCAAAATTTAGACTGCCTTCCCCAAAGAAACAAGATATGGGGGATTATGTGCTGCTTCTCTGACCGTTGCCCTAGCTGGAAACTCAGCCTACTAAAGCTGGTTGGACAGACCACCTCAAGGGTTGGAACCCTAACAGATACTTCCTTAGTGTCCCCTGTACCCTGTGCAAAAAGCTGGGCATGTTGGAAGTGCTCACAAAATATTTGTTGGTTGACTGATCCCCACCATTACTTCACATGGAAACCATAACCTCTGAGTGGTTCTGTGAAATTTTAACAAAAGAAAGAAAAAGAAAAACCCAAACTTTATCAAGTGGTTTTTCAAATCCCTCCCAGTCACAGTCTGGACAGTTGGATCTTTGCTCTTTGGGGGTCTGCCAAGGCTCACTGCAGCAGCAGAAAATGAAGCCACCCTCCCTTATTTCTGCTGTCCAAGTCTGAAGAGTGGCAGGGCCTCTGCACCTGTTGGGGGCTGGATGTGTCAAATGATAGGACCAGGGGTTCTGTGCTGCCCTTTCCCTGCCTGATTCCTCAAAGGCCACTTAGAGGGCACTCTGCTAGAAATGCTGCATTCGGTGGGGGATTCAGTAAACTAGGGTGTTTAGAATCAGTAAAAGTGATACAGGGTGGCAAGGCTCTACTCTGCTGCTGAGTACCACCTAGCTCTCGCTTACAGGCACTCTTGAATTGTTCTCTAATTTGCTTAAATGTGCAGCTTCAAGTTTCACTTGTGCAGCTGAGGCCCAGAGAAGGAACATAATCTAGCCAAAGCCACACAGCAAGTTCACGACAGAGTTGACAATCTCAGAACCGCTATCTTTTGATACCATGGACAATGATTTTTTTTTTTTTTCTCAATCACATTGAGTACTAGTGCTTAGAGGTGGTTTAGCAGATTTTTGAAGCCCAACAATGTGTTAGGCTATGTTCCTAAGAGATTGGAGGGTCTTAGAGTCAAGGATTTCTGACTTTGACATGGAGTCAGAGTGTAAGGATTAAGAGAATAAACTCCAGTAGTCATTCTTGAAAGCATTAATAAATGTTCTTAAATCTCTTTTCCTTGTGTGTGAACCTGGGTACACATTTGACCTCCCAAACAATATTCTGAGCACCTAGAGGGCAAGGTATATATTTTCTAATTCCTTGATGGACCTCCATGGTGTGAAGTCCAGAGCTAAGGTCCAAGTGGGTACTGACCAAATGTCAATGATAACTGCCTGACTTAAAGCTCTGAGCCAGGATTCTGGGGAATGCTCTCATAGGGTTTGTGGCCCTGACCTCGGCAGTCATGTGGACTCTACAGGGTAGTCATCATGGCCCCAGAGAACCTACTGCAATTAAGAAGCTCAGAGAATTTGAAGTGTAACATTTCATCATGTAGTAATTCATATTGCCGTTATATTTCTGAACAACTTCAGTTTCTCTTTGTTGCCCATGCATGCCTGCCACCTCTGCTCCACAGAGAAGGCAGTTGGCCTTGGCCTCAGCCTGATCTTATTTGTAGAGATGAGCTCTCATGACAGCTCCATTAAAGATGGCTGTTGTACGAAGAATGAATCTTTTCAATGGTAATTTCCCCACAGCTCTCACATTGCCCGAGCCTTCCTTCAGCAACCCAAGTAACCCTTTTCGTCTCCCCTGATTCCAGGTACAGAGGAACCTTGTATCATGCAAGAAACACCTTCATACAAAGTTCCTTGTTAATTAAATCCTGTGTAAAATGCACTTTTCACACAACTATCTAATGAAATCCAGTAGGGAATCCTTTGGTAATGAGAATGTTTACCCTCAACATTCTGTTTCTGTCAGTTTCCTAAAGTGGCACTATTCTCATGTGATAGTGTATGTAAATGTGCTGGGATATGAAAGTGGGTGTGTGTTGGGGCCATCATATTGCCCTAAAAGGGAAGAGTCTAAAGCGTAGAGGGTGGCTCCATTTTGAGCAATCTAAATATACAAACAAACAATATGACCCAAAGGATAAATCTGTGTCCTGCATTGAGTAACACTCTGTAAACATTTGATTGGTTGGTTAATTTTAAAGGATAAATTAGCACACGATTATTATACACTACATCAAATCATTTCTTTTTGATTTGCTCAAGTATTCCCCATAAGAAGAAAGTTCCTCTGATGCATTTAAAACCAAGCCAGTTTACAAGAAATGAAATGATACACACTTCCGAAACATTCCATAGAAAAGAAGCCAAGTAAGAAATAGTTATATGCCCTACAGATTGTGACTAGTTTGAGAGCTAGTAGGGACTTTGGAGATGTCAAAAGAAAAGAGTCTACACATGGTAACTGGAAAGCTGAGGGAAGCCCTCTGTAGGTTGTTATGAGGTTAGAAGAATTCGTAGTTTCCTCTCTTGGCTGTTAATAGTCTTTACCTATCTCCCTGAGTATATAATCACTGAGGGATATTTCAGACTACACCACCACCACCAAAAGGTGTGTGGCATTAATTGATGATTTATAGCAAAGTAAATGCAAAGAGACCTTTGGATAAAGAAATCTGTATTGTATTCTGGAGGTAAGTGGTGATACCAAAGAGCTCTGTGTGTGCGTGTGTGTGTGTGTGTGTGTGTATTTATTGGGCAGGATGGGGTGGCTAGGGTGGCAGGCAGGATGGGACTGGATGAGGTAGATTGGGGGCCAGGAGTATTCATACTGCACAGTGTAATGGAAAGAGCACAAGACTAGAAGTAAGGGGACTTGCATTCTCGCTTTGGCTCCTCCACTAACTTGCAAGTAAGTCACCCTTGGGCCTTGAGCCCCAGAGATCTCCTTTACGGGATGAAAAGTTCTGAAGGGAGAATCCCTAGGAGTTCTACCAGCTTCTCGTATAAAGGATTCTATGATTATAGCTAGAGCTTGGAATTTATGCTTTAGAAAAAGAACAGCTGGGTTCCTAAGAAACTACCACCCAAAGAGACTGAGACAGCTGGGCAGGCAGTATCTTTCCTTTCCTTGTCCCCTCCCCTTCTCTCTTGCTTAAATTTGTTGCTATAAGAATGAAACCCCTACTCCCAGATTCCAAAAGTTCTGCTTAAAGTCTGGACTTCCAAGGAAAAGTTTTAGAAGGCTCTTCATTCTCTGGCATCTTCCCCTTCTCTTATCCTTATCTTTGCTTCCCAGGAAGAGGGGCTTCCTCGTTCCCTCCAACAATGTGGGGTGCTGGGAGCCATTGCTTCCTCTTGAAGCTTGGGCTTCCATAAACTTCACTGTTCCTGCTTAGCACAAGGAAAAGCAGCCATAAGCCCAGACCTACACGGCACCCAACCTACCCCACTAAAAAGGGACAGCAAAATGTTCTGCTCCCTGGGACTCACAAGTCTGTAGCGATAACCATGAGGAAAGGTAGGAGCCCTTCTGGACCGGAGTTGCCTTCTCATGGCTGCTCAGTGGGCAAAGACGCGGCCGAGGCAGACAAATGGGTGAGAGTTCTGGAACTTCTGCTGGTACAGGAGACACTGGCTACTGGGGACACTTGGCGCCTAGTAAAAGTGAACCCTCCTGGCATGAGCCCTTCCCCAAAATAATCTAACATGCCCATCTCTCATTGGTTGGCCCTTTCTCTGAATCAAGGGAAAGCCCTTATGGAAAAGCAAGCTCATCATTACAGAGAGGGGGTGATATTCTGGGTCACGAGGATGAGCGACTCACCCCCTCCTCCTTCATGTCTCTTTCCACACCCTGCCCTTCTCCAGCGCCTGAGATACAATGAGCCCAAGGAAAATATTAAGTTGTGTTCTTCTCAATTGTGAGTTGGTTATCAGTGTGTGCAGGGGGTAGGGCATAGGTGGGAGTTGGGGTGAGGAGAGATGGCTAGGAATAACTTGCTTTTTTCATACAGCTGACCTCATGCGAAAGGATCCAGGGTGTCAGGAAAGATTCCCTTTGCTCTTCGCCCCCCCTCCCCCACCAAGCCATCTACAACATTCCTGATCTGTGTCACTCTACAAGCATCTTAAAATGTGAATTTTGCTTTCTGATTTTAGAGGCTAGGACCACCCTTTACTCCCTCCACCCCCCAAAGAGGGTCTTGGACATCAAGAAGCCTTTTTCTAGCCCACATGTCAGAGTGGCCCATCAGTCACTGCCCCTCTCTCTCTCTCACACACACACACCCCTTGGAATCCTGGCCAAATTTCTGTAGTGGTTGAGATCTATATTTATCACTTAGCATCAGGGCAGGGAACAAGCCAGAACTTTGCAGTGTCAGTTTCCCAGACATATATAACTTCTGAAGCCAATGTGGGATACAACAAGAGAAAAATTAGTAGAAACAACCAAAATATTATATACCATGTTTGGTCTGTTTGGTCCACCCAACTATAGGCTGGGTGGCTAAGAGTTGTGACACTTCCTTCACAAATCACCCCCACCCTCGCATTACATCCAGGTGTCTGGGAATGTTGCACATGTTGAGATTCTGGGCATATTCACAACCAAGCGCAATAGCTTGGATAGGTAGATTTATTCATAATTCCAAGTCCAGGATATTCTGATGAAAACACTGTCAATTGTGATTAATTTTAAATAAGGCTCCCATTTACTGTAACATTACTAATCAGGACTCTTCCTTAACAGAATCTTTCCCCATACCCTTCCTTGAAGAGAAAGAGCCCACTTTGGATTTTAATAAAAGCAAAATGTACTCCAAGGGATAATCTGGCCTCAATAGATCTAGAGGTCTGTCCCTTACACCTTTTCTAAGCCAGTCATTACCGTGATTCCTGATATTAAGTATGAGAACCCTGAGGCCCTTGGAAATCTCAAAAAACAAAACAAAAAAGGATAGGTTAACTGGCTTTGCCTAACTAAGGCAGAAAAGAGACTGTGGTCATTTTAGCATCATTTCAAAAGACCAAGATGGGAGGACAAAAGGGACTTGGAGTGATGTCATGCAACTCTCAGGTAACCAAAAATTCCATTCTGCAGAATCTCCCATTCCTTAGGTTCTGGCTAACTGAGAGTTTGATATATACTTAATGCATTTGCGATGTATTTTTACTATAGCCCAGGCTGCCTTCTGGAATGCCAGCTGTTGGTTGGGATAAAATAACCAAATCCCATAGGACTTCAAAGACAGAAATCTGAATGAATTACACTCAAAAGACTCTAGTTAAAGGAGAAATCATTCCTGCCAATTTTGAGACAGAGCAAAGTGGAGCCAGAAGCAGTGGTCAGTGGGGCTGCAAGTGAAGCAGGGGCTACAGAGAGCAGAGAGGAGGGCGGTCCTTGGGCTCAGGTGTAATCAGCTCCTTCTCTAAACCTGGTGTTCTACTTGCCTGCTCCAGTAAAACCACATATTTGCTGACAATGGCGACTGGGAATGGAAACATTCTGGACTGAGTTCTCCTGTTCCCAAAGGAGAAAGAAATGGCAGCACCTTCCAGAGAATCTTTGACTTTACCACGAGATGGGCTAGTTTATGCCATCTGTTCTCGTGGGCCATTTCTACAATGATGGGCAGGGGTTCAGTGTGTCCCAGACCCATCAGGTAGCAATTGTGTACTCTCTCCACCCAGGGATTGACTAAATCCTCAGGGAGTCTCTGGGAAGCGGTGGTGTCACACAGGGGGTGCAGGGGATGCAGACTTCACTGAGTGACACAGTCAGGGGTGGTGACACCAAAATGACTGCTTAAACAATTTTTATGCACTGTTTTCAGCAGAAATTTTTTTTTTTATATAAAAATATCCCTATAGTTTGTTATAGAGGCTCTGGTAGCATAGTGCCTAAGGCACTTGACTGCTAACCAGAAG